AAACTGTGAAAAACCGCAATGATTGATTTATTTGATCATTGACCATTGACATATACTCATATTTAAGTTGTTGCTTGCTGCTGAAACAGTTTTTCATTATTCTTTATCAATATTCTCTTTAGGTTCATCACTATGAGTGTACCTCTTTTGCGTTGTCATGTTGTTTTCACATTGTTATTTGATACATACAAATAATAGCCACTTTAAAAAAAGAATCCAAGCAACTCAGAAGATTTCTTTTCTCCAGAATAAAAGTTATGTGGAGCATTTTGAAACTGACACAAATGCCATATTTGATCAATTCAATTCAGCTTTATTGTCATTATACTTGCATACAACAAAACATACTATTGTCATTCCAAGTGATTCCAAGATAGTTAATCTAATTAAAGTAAAATTCATGAACTAACACAATAAAAAAAAACTACACATAGCTATATAGATAATTTAATGTACTGTGAGTTACAGTAGTTGGATCCAGATCTAGAAGTTTTCATCAGTGGAAAAGCAACATATTTTTGCTGCAAGACCAAGTCAGAGGGCCTTAGCACCAACAGTAAAAGGGCTGCAGTTATTGCTCAGTCCAGTCATAAACAAAGTTACAAGTTTTTCAGGCATGTCTGTTCTATATAATGTAATCCAGTACAATGGCCCTGAAACACAGCACATCTTTGTGAAGGTTATCGTGTCTAGTTTTTCTTGACACCGAGTCAGAGAGGTGTTTATTTATCTCTATGGACACGTTTGAGGCTGTACTTGGTGTATTGTTGTATTGAGAGGTGTGTTAATTAATGCTCCTCAGTTTTCATATACAGTGTGCTCTCCTATATGTTGTAGGTATAAAACCAAGTTAACAATATGTTTCCACAAAATTCAATGAAAAATGTTTACTTTTGCTGCATTAAACCGAAACATAACTTCTGTTATCCTGCCAAAAATCAAGTCTCAGTTTAATCTGAGATTCAGGGGAAGTATATTGAACAAAAACACACATTGCAATAACAAATGTTTTATGCTTCTTGAACAGCTCAATATAAAGTAAAAAGTTATATGCAAAAGTTTGCTAATTTAAATGCAAAGTAAGTGAAGAACCTACATGCTCTAGGAAACCCTTTCATTCTCCAGTGTTTCTGTTTCTCACGCACACCAACACACACACACACACACACACACACACAGACACACAGCCAACTTGCTAGTCAGATTACAGTAGCTCCATTTTTTGCATTCTCCTTGCAGCTGTTCTTTACAAGTCAGATCTTGAATGGTGGTAGACATCGGCCGTTTGGTTTGGCGCTCGGTTAGAGCTCTATGAAGAGACTGCTGTGTGAATGTAAGTGTGTGTGTGTGTCTGTGTGTGTGAGAGAGAGAGAGAGAGACAGAGGGAAAGAAAGATAGATGTCATTAACACAACAACATAATGTTGTCATTATGTCCTGATGTGACTCACCCATTCCTATGTCATCCCCACATTTTTCTTCTTCTTCTTCTTCTTCTTCTCCTTCTCTAGTTAGTGTTTTCCCCTCTCTTTCTTTCTTATCCTCTATTTGCCTTTCTCCTTCTTTCTCCCTAACTTCCCGAACTGAGTCTTTTCCTGTGTGGTCCCTAGCAGTTCTCCTCTTACTTTCATCTCACTTGAAGAGATAATGAGGTTGATTGCATCACCCACAGAGCCATTTGACAAAACTTTGGATTAAAAAACACTTTGATCACATCCCAAAAGGAAGAAGTTGAAATAATTATTAAACCGTGTTTTTTTGCTGCTACTGTAATTAGCACCTATGAAAACTTTTTATTCCATTAGTTTTTGCCTCTTCAGTTGATATATCATCCTTGGCAGACATCAGCTCAGAGGAGAACGGATGCACACGGTAACCAATAGAGATCATGTGAGTAAGTGGTGAGAGGCCAAACAACGTCCAGCGTGAGACATCACGTTTAGACACCACAGAGTTGGAGCAGGTGCACAGCCACAAGCCAGAAGATTGCAGTTAGTTTAACGCTTTCACAGTCATTTTCATGGCTTGATGGGAGGTCTGGTTGGTCAAAATGAGACGACTGAGACTGGACTGGACTTAACAAAAAAAAGGCTCATTGTAGATACATTTTTGTCTTATTGCAAAAATAAAAAAATGGTTAAACATCAACTAATTAAATTTGGACAACCATCGGCTAACAATGAGCAAGGATGCGGTGACAGCAGATGTGTGAATGTGTGTGTGGGTCATGTTTGTTTCTTTGGAGAAAGAGAGGAAAACAAAGGGCCACACTGGTGGCTAGGATTTGGTGAATGTGTGTGTGTGTGTGTGTGTGTTTGTAGGTGTGCATGTGTGTGTGCCCCAGAGCTCTTTGTGCCTTTTCCATGGACTCAGCCATTGTTGCCACTCTACGTGTCACATGCACATGCACCGACACGGACAAACTCAAGCACACACACATATCTACATACAAGTTGTCTGGTTTTTGCTAAACTTAAGAGGACAGTAGCGAGGGCATAGAACATAGAGTCCCTGAAAGCCCCATGAAATTCTCTTTTTAAAATTCTCAGCAGACTTTCAGTACATCTAGAAAGTAATTTTGGAGTTTATGAGTTCTAAGGGAGTGCATCTTGAACCACTAACCCTAAAAATCATCCTTTTGGGTCATCCAAAATACCCTCACAACTTAAAATGTCCTCACAAGAATAGGGAAATGTCGAAAGTCAATCCCCACAAGCTCAGCTAAACCAGACCACACACACTCACACACGTGCAGGCAGCTACCATTGGCTCTGCAAAGAGGGTCCCCTCCTGTCCCCATCCCCTCTTGCCTGCAGCTGCTGGCCAGCCTGTCAGTTCCCAGGCATCAAGCCATCAGAGATGATGCTTCCTCACGCCACCAAGTGGTAATCACCTGTCCTGCACCATTCAGCAACTGGGGCTCTATCCTCCAGGCAGCAGTGGCAGTTAAGATGCTACCAAAAGTGTTTAAAGCTTCACTGATAGAGTAAGAAAATCAGTGTGTGTGTTTGAGCTGAAGGTTCAAGCCATAAAATAAAACCACATCATGAAAAGAGACAAAAATAGAAGGTTGGTTGTACCATGGTACCTTTATTGCTTTGTGTGACATTTTTTGTAAATCCACTATGTGTGACATTATAGATGATAAATAAAGAAAATATGTACTGCATAATAGAAGAAGAAAAAGAAGAAGAAGAAGTTTAGAGAAGTGATTTAAAAGATGTCTCTGATTCTGCAAGTCATGGATGTTTTCCCCCACAAAAAGTGCAACACTTATTTTTAGCATCAATAAATCCCATTAACAGACGAATCAACTGTGTTGTAGGCAATACTTTCTGACACGTGGCACTCAGCCCCAAGCTCATTGTAATGTAAATCTCAACAAACATATTGTTTCATTTAAAAAAAAAAGGATAAGTGATTTCCTAAAATGATTTGGTTCTGTAGTTTTCAGCAAATGTTACTCAAGCAGGAGTAAAAAGTGCATTTGTGGGGAACCATTTTCAGCCGCAGATTCGCCAGTGAGTGTTTTTAGCTTAGATGGGATTGTATCAAAATGCTCTTTTTGTGGAATTTGTTGACATTAAGAAAAAATAGAATATCACTAGCTTTCTCCTAGATGTTTGAATAACTTACCAGGTGGTGATATTGATGAAACAATAAAGAAAAAGCAACAACAAAACAGGTCTCAGACTCAAGCTGTCAGTGTCGGACATACCCTGATGGCTTCACAGTATTTAGCCAGGCTGACTTTCTTACTGTGTGCACACGTGTGCGTCTGTTTCTGCTGTGGATTTGTTTGTGGATAGTTTGCCATGGTCTCGGTATGTCCCTGACCTACTTAGACATCACTGTGGGTTCAAAGTCATGTGTATAGGAATGTGTGTGCATACAGTGTCCTTGCATTGTGTCTATGTGGAGGAAAATCGGACATTTCTGAGCCATAGTATGCCACGTCCTTGCTATATCCGTAACCTCTACTCAGACGCCACTGTAGGTTTAATGTCAAGTGTATAGGAATTTGTGCATGCATTGTGGATATAATTTGTATGTATGTCTGTGTAAGACAGCTTGTGTGCACACATGTAAGGATTAATTTTCTGCATCTGACAACTGGAAAATAGGCAGAAGTCTGGGGATAAAAAGAGGGCTAAGGAGATGTGCTTTAGGGCAGGTGAAGTGCAGGGAGCGGGGGGCCAGACAGCAGGGGGGGCACTCAGTTCAGAGAGTAATTGTGGAGGGGGTCATACAGGTCCGGACCTCATTAAGAAAATTGTCTGGGAACTTTCAGGCTCTGAGCTGCCGTCATGTCACCTGCCTTCTCGTCAGAGGAGGCAGCGTAAGGAAAACAGTGGCTTATTAACGTGTCTTTCAGTTTTCCAGGTCACACAGTTCACCATTAGAGTCAGGAAGATCAACACACACACACACGCATGCCAACACAAAGCTGTGTTGCAGGAAACACTTTTGAGGTACGAGCCTGTAACTGACATGCATACATCTGACATCTGTGGACTTGAGGAATATTGAAGGCAGGTACACCATCTCAACCAGTATCCCTTTTGATCGTCTTTTGAACGTCTTCTCCTTACGCTCCAACAACACTCCCACTCTTTCTGTTCTTAATTTGTATTCACAAGGGGGTTCTCCGCCGTCTGAGGTTACATAGATGAGAATTGGGGGGGATTTGGGGGATCTCTCTCCTGCAGCTTTTTAAAGAGGGTGAGGTATCAATCAGGTGCTGATGTTACACTGATGCAATGTTTCAGCCTATAGAGGAGGTTACTACTGGACACTGTTCTGTTTTATATCATCTTACCAGCGGTGAACAGAGAGCGTTCTGTCAGGGACATACTAATTTAAAAGTGTACCTAATGATCTTTGATCATTTGATGCTTTAAAGTGAGGTAATATTGAGTTGGGTCCATGTTCACTGAACTGTACAAATCTTTCTGATGAAGCGAAAGGCCAGAAATCAAACCAGACATTTTTTTAGTGCATTAAAACCTGTTTATTCTCATGCTTTCAAATGTAATTCAAAGCATTTGCCAAAGACATAGACTACAATAAAATGTCTTTCATTTCAAACTGTTATACATTCAAGAGTGCAATTATTTAGTATAAATAGGATAGAATATCTGTGTCATAGAATATAATCTCTCTTTTAAAAATGTTTCAAACTATTTCAAAGTAGGAAATATAGCACTTACATTCAGTCCAATATATACAGAGAAAAAGATATATAGACATTCATAGATCAGCAGGTGCACAGCACTGTTCCCAAAACCCAGAGATAGAATTATTAAGATCTTGTACCCATTATAAATATAGATTAGGCTACACATTGTACTGCAAGTGTGCAATCAGTCCAACGATAGTATGATGGTCACATCCGACAGCATAAAAATCACAGTACTTTAAGGATGGGGTTGATTATCCAACAATAAGGTGCATTGGAGTCAGCTCCCTTTGTAATTTGTTTTCAGCAGTCAGAAAATTTAAGGTCCTGACGTGACAAATGTGAATCAGAAAATGACTCCACAACCCTGCTTAGAGGTGAAAAGGCGCTATGGGGCAGAGGCTGACTAGTCGGTCTTCTTGCAGCTTGTCTCTGCGTTCTCTGACTCTTCTTTGGCTTTGAGCGATCCACTTTGTCCCTTGTCAGGAGAAACTGGAGTGTGATTTCCCGCCGCTCCATTCTCACTAGATTCTTTGGTTGTGGAAGTGCAGGTCGCCGTGTCAGTTGTGCTATTGTCAATACATGCTCTCTTAATGTCGTCGGTAAGGGCGGCATAAGGGGAGCAGCCAGTGAAGAGGGTCTTGTAGATGGCCGACTCGATGCCAGCGAATGGTGAGGTGGAGGAGCCTGTTAGCATCATCCTTGACTAAAAACAAAAAAAAAATAGAGGAAGGGGGGATTAATTTGTTTATAGGTTTAGAATAGAATATGTGATGCAGTCATTTCCAAACTGGTGAGGTGTCATGATAATGATAGCAATAATGTCAGTGTAGGTGTTTACAGCTTGTTCCTCTGTCCCCAAGTGGCCAAAAAAGTGATCTTTCAGGTTTATTATGTTCTCCTTTCAGTACAAACTTCATTTACATGAATGTGATAGGAAGTCTTATGTCTTGTATGTGAATGTATTAAAGTTTCATGTTAGCCTAACACTGTCCTCTCTCAAAGTATTATTATATATTTTTGTGGGTAATAGATTTAAAAATATATATAAAATACGTCACATGCCTCAAGTATGTAATTTGTCATGTTTTCATGGATAGCCAATGTGACGTTGGTCTAGTTTACATATAAACACACAAAGTAAGTGGATATTTGTATCTACTTCTCATTAGGGGATGAGAGTATAACATCTGCATCATTTGGGAACAAAAAATAATAAACAAAAGGTTTGGACGCATCTCTTAAATCTGATGAAATGGCTCGGCGGTAATTTGACAGATCAGAGTCAGAGGGAGCTAACAGAATCAGAGTTGAAAGAAGACATGGTAGATTTATCTGTGTCTCAGTCAAGAGCACAAGTTTCCCAGAGAAGAGAAGAGAGGATGATGCAAGCTGATGAAAATGATGCAAAAGCCCCAGCCCTACGGGTAATACCGAGCTAATGTGAGTCACATCAGCTAAAACTTCAAAAAAGCAGAGGGAGAAAGGTCATTTAGAAGACAGGACACCACAGATCTGGAAGAAGCTACGGCACCAAAACATCTTTTACAGATCGAATTAGCCAAAGAATGGTATTAAATGGCTTTCTCTGTCGTGGGTAAGCAATTAAATTGACCAAAACATGCCTTCCTGTTTTGTATTTAAATCACCACCACCTTGGGTATACATTCTCAAGGTCACAGTATCAGGTATGATGCACCAGACTGACCTTGTTGACGACGGTAAAGATGGTGTAGATGAGCATCAGGTGGTGCTTCTGGAGAGGCAGGTAGTGGGTCTGCTGCAGAGCAAACAGCACTGCCCCTATGAGGGTGATCTTGGTGGGGCTACAGAAACATACAGAGAGAGACATATAGAGAGCCGTTGTGATATATCAACAAAAATATTAGAACATCTACGACAGCCAGGGTGATAATAACTTTATGCACATACTTGAAAGACATTTCATATGCTTGAAATATTATGCAGAAATGAACTAAATTGGAGACAAACCCTGTAGATGTACCCCATGAGTCCATAACTCAAATTGGTTTTAATGCTGCCATATGGTAACAAAGAGAACATGTTTGGTAAGATTTCCATACACACACAGGTGCCAGCTGTACAATGTCCTCTGCTTGTTGACTGTCTCCATCTTTGGTTCGGAATAGTTTGACATTTTGGTAAATATATATTTTCTTGTTGAGAAATAGATAAGAATATCTGTACCACTCTCATGTCTGTACAGTAAATATAAAAGGTACAACCAGGAGCTGGTTAGCTTAGCCTAGCATAAAGATTACAAAGGGGGGGGGGACTTACTAAGACATTTTGAGGAGCTCATTAGTCTCTGGTTTCCATACACCTCGAACAAGCTGCTCAAAATTACTTATCAGACCACCTCCAGCACCTAGTGGAGGGAGAAAAGAGACATCCGGTTGATACAGATTCATATATAAAATGTGTTTGATATTAATTAAAACACAAAAAAAATGTTGTTACTTCACAGCTCTTATAAAACTATCATGAAACTCCTTCAGCGTGTACCATCAGCTACTGACCTCTAGCCCACCCGATGGCAATCATAACCAGCAGACTGTCCTGGTATTTGCTGTGTGCCTGGGTGACCCCTCCAAGCACTTTCCACGTCCTGGTCACTTCCTTCATTCCTGACAGCACCAGCCTGAGAGGCAGCAGGGCAGCACAACAGTACACCAGGTCCATGGGGCAGTAAAACACTAGGTACCTGTAGAGACACATATGGCTCAAATAAATAGCGCACACACACAACCACTTCAGCTTCCTGCTGTTTGTAAACTATGTGTTCATTAAACATTTCTGACAGTATCACCTGTCAGTCTCTGTCAAGTAGCCAATTTCACCAGCAGAGGGCACTGTTTATTTTTTTGTGAAAAGAGTGTAATTATATGTGCCACCAGTAGAGGGCACCACAGGATTCATATTAAGAGGTTAGAACTTCATAATGACTTCTCTGTTGCATTCAATGCAACACATTCCACATTTCACGCTCAGTATTACAGGAAATTAAGCAGTTGCACATTTATTCTGAGGATAACCTTATTATTCTGGTTTTGCTCTGTGGGTGCACTGAGAAAGGGACATAGACATGTTTGTGTATCCCTTTTCCTCAAAGTTGCAGAGGGCCTTTCACTAATCCTTTCAATGTTTGCTTCACTTCCTCTCACTCTTTTCTCTATCCACATCTTAGTCCTCTTTCAGTTCTTTTGAATTCACTTTTACTCAATTAATTCCTTGCTGTCTATGTCTAATAGTCAATTTTTAATATGTTATAATATTGTATACTTTATTTTAATTGATTCTTATTTTATAATGCTTTTATTTTATTGGATTCTGTTTTTATTCTGCAGCTGTGAAGCTATTTGTAACGTCTATACAAATAACATTTATTATTATTCTTATTATTCTAATTACACACTATATTTCCAAGTCTCAGTTATTTACCATATGATCGAAGCAAGCAGAACACTGGTACTGTTGGACAAAGGTGCGATAGCTGGCTCGGCCAGCATGATCCCGGACAGCACTGCTCCACCAAAGCAGAAGAGCATGGAGCTGAACCAGCAGGCTATGGGGCTGACCCTGGAGACCTCAAGAGCGCCTGCACAAGAACAGAAGTATATTAGCAGGATCACCGCTCACTCCTTGAGTCCCCTATAGGTGGTATATTTTTCGTACACAAGGCATTCCTACAGGGTCTGTAAGAGCCTGAGAACAACCTGCAATCACTGTTGTTGAATGCTCGCCATAATAAGCATTAAACCTAGGAATGATTACTGTCATTACCTAAATCCCTCCATTACAGTGAATACTTAGGAGTTTGTGGATATGAGAAACATGTAGTCTAGAGAAAAAAAGGCCATTAGTGACGTCTACAGTATATCAGGGTATAAGAAGACAGTGGAGTTTGATACTTTGTCCTTTTCCCTATCTGATGCATGCTTCTCCCAATCTTGAGTACTGTATAATTATTAACTAGTTAGAGTTACCAAATACACGCAACAAAGAGAGAAGTTTGCGGAGCACTGTTACATTATTTGCGTATGAGCCTACAGTTCAAAGTGCAGAGAGGCAGAGGCAAGACATTTACACTTAGAAATGATATCAGTTCAGGGCAGATAACCATCAGCCGCTCAAAGCTTCCTCTGTGTTTCCACCCTGTGATCCTCTTTCCACTGAAAGCATTTACACGCTAAGTACAGCAACAAGATGAGTTATGGGCAACTCAAAAAGCATGTGAACTGCTATGTGTTATAATATTATGTTATGTTCTTACTGGAAATCACTAACACAGAGATGTTGTACATCCTTTATATAACTTTATCGACCTTTGCAGAGATAGTCCAGCACTATCTCACGCTGACTTCTCTCACTCTACCAAAGTTGCTGCTGCCAACGTACACTATGATATACGTGTTTCACTTAACCTGAGACAGGTAACGCCTGAGCCACCTGCCCTGAGTCACTATGGCCGCACACAGGACCATACTGGTAATCTGAGGATTACAGACAGATTATAGACTCCTGGAGAGAGATCGGTACACTAGAAGGATTTATAGCTCTATCTGCCTCCTCTGCAGACTCCCCATGAATTCAGTTAGTGCCGCTCCCTTTTTAAATTTCCTCTCATTTCTAAAAGAATGTAGAAATGATGGAGAAGCATCTTAATTTATCACCCATTTAAAAAAAAAAAAACATACAAAGTTACAAATGACTGTTTCAGTTAAGATTATTATTATTTCTGACGGTACAATAGAATGAAAAGATAACTGCTCCAACCTAGGGGGTCAAACTCCCTTCAAGGGTCACCAGATAATTCTGAGGGGTTGTGACGTGATTAAAGGGAGAGGAAAGAAGAAATCTTGCTGTGACTTTTCTGTTATCTTTACTTCTGTGTGAAATAAGGGATAATTTTACCTCTTTGGGATTCAAACGGTTATTCAAATAAAACTTTGGCATGAAACATGACCCAAAACCGACGTCTTTTGTAGGAATTCACAAGCCAAATAGTTGGACACCACTGGTTTAATCTTAACAATGTGCAGTATTTTATTAACCTTTTTGAATGTGATATCTAAAGTAACTAGAAGCTATTAAGCCAGTAGTGGCATCTAAAGTATTATTCCAGCAGAAAAACATAATTTAGCCACCTAAAAAGAAATCAGTATCAGTTTAAGTTCAGATTTGAACTAATGTGTAAAAACACACAATTCAACTCCTGTGTTCTGCGAGGTAAAGTTACAAATTCTAAATATAGCGAACAATTAAACTGTTTTTTTTTAGGTGGCTAGGTTATGAAAAAAAAAAAATTTTAAGCTAATTTATGGATTTTCACGTGTTTATTTATATATTTTATAAGTCACACTGAATCTAAAAATATGTGTTTCATGTCTGTTTCCAAGGGGTTTTCAATTATCTTAACTGCCTCCATGAGTGTCCAAGCCACTGCTGCTGCTCTAATTACTGACCATGTTGGTAAGCAGGCCAAACTACAATAACTAACTCCCTGTTGTTTTTAGAACACCTGTCTCTTTCAGTATCTTTACCTCATGTTTCTCTCTCCAACTCCAAAATGAATAGTAGTGAGTCAGAGGGGGACATTTTGCAATTGGAAAACAGTGACACAACTTTTTGTGTGTACATGAAGTCTGGTGTAATGAACGTTTGTGGTTCAAAATGAGATGCCACAGTTAGGAGAGGAGGAAGTTTGAAAAAAAAAAAAAAATGGCTTCCGAAATTCAAGACAGGAAAGAGCAGTTATACTATATGTCAACAGTCTAGCCTGACTGAGATACATATCATTGTCCCCTGTGAGACACCAGTGCTCAGTATTAGCGCTTTTGGTTTTGCAGCAGTTGTGGCACACAGTTCACAAGAGCAGCACATTGCTTACATAGTAAAACAGCATTGCTATGTCATCACTTCCAGTTCCAGAGCAAAACAAACTGCTGCAGTGTCTCTTTAAAGGGGAACGAAAATGGTGTTTCATTTAACATTTATGATGTAAGATGAAACTGAAATGCATACTCTGAAATATAATACCCTGCTCGGACTGCCCTCACACGGTGGGCTACAAAGACAACTTCACCAGATCAAGATCCTGTTTCCTGGTTTGCATTTGAAGGAAACACATTTACAAGTCAAATCTGAGCAATACAAGCGGTTGTATTTTCAATTCCTCTTTCTTTTCTTCCTCCATATTGTTTCTCTTTGTCTAGCTACAGAGGGACGCTAGAGAGTGGGCTCCTGTTGAGGCTTGTCTCTCTTCTCCTCAGTCTCTTCCAGGAATTAAAACAAAACCTTTTTGGAAATCTCTCTCTCTTCCGAGCCTGCTCCCATAATAATTGTAATCTGAGGTCAGTTTTGCCTGTGAATTTATTTTAAAGGGCGAAATTAAGGCCCATTTGTAAATGCTCTTAGATGAGTATGTTTATTAGAGTTTATTTACGTGCATACAAGTCCATCTTTACAAATGAACACAAAGGAAAAGGGCTGTTGTTCCATTTTCTTCAATTCTACAATTCAATAATCCAGTGCTCTTTCTGCTTAATTTCACCCCAACCTCTCCTAAGCCAATACCTTATTTCCCTTTGCCTATTATTTCACTTTTGTAGCCCTTCTTAGAACTTCTTCTACCCCTCTCTTCTTCTATCTGTTGGACGGAGACGTGACAGACAGCAGTAGAGAAGAAAAAGTGGCTTATCACTGGTTATTTTTGTCTTGAATCCCTGATTGACATATAACCACTGCTCCTCTGGCATTTCCACGTCCTCCTGTGTCCTATACAATCCCCTCACAGCAATGTTTAGAAAACTGCTTAAAATAACTCCAGTCTGATAAACCTGTTTTTGTGTTTAATAATCTATTCATTTTTCTATTTGAAGCTTTGGAATAATGATTCAGTCTCCTTGAAAATAACATTTTCTGGAAAATACTTGTTTGTTTGTGAAAGAGCTCCAGCGCTGCAAAGACTGGATGCACTATAGAGCAGGAGGGGAAGATTTAACACAGGAAAGAGAAAAAGAAAGGGAGGGTTGAATGGTTTATAGCATTCCTTTCCTTTTTGGGGAAGAAGAAGGACTGGAGCTGGCTGAGTGTTTTGAGTCTTGACTTTTATTGCGACTTTACAGGGACACACAGGGAAATTAGGAGGATTTTGTGTTTTCTTTACTGACCTATGGCATTTTGTTTGTACATATTTTTACTCTCTGTGTATCTGTCTTTCAGCTGCAGAAAGATAAATGGGAGCAGAGGACGAAGGGTTGAAAGGTCATGGCGGCTCAGATGCTTTGCGAGGCAAGTTCGAAAATAGACTGTTGATTTACAGCAGAGGGACTACAATGGACTGTGTGTGTGTGTGTGTGTTCTTGTATGGTTGTGCCTGTGTGTGTGTGTGTGTGTGTGTGTGTGGAAAGTCATCTGTGCAGTTAAAAGTCCACCTGTCCCTGTAGACACAGTCACGTGACGTAGTTGGCTCGGTGGCTGCCTTTGGTCTGAGCTGATACAATCGGCTGTGGCTCAGTGAGACAGTTTGTGCTCTAAGTCTGCTTCATTTGTGTGTTACCGTACGTGTGTTTGTGTGTTTGTCAGTCAACGAGGACAAACATGAGAAACTAACGGATGATAAGACGAATGTCTCCAAATTACTTAATACTGCTACTACGATACTGTGAAAATGTTTTTCCACTGTCAACATAGCAACTGTACACAACATCAGACAAAAAACGGATTTTTAATGCAATTACAACAGACAAAAGCACTGGTGGAACGTAACATTTATGCATTTATTTAAGTGCTGTACTTCAGTACGGTTCTGAGGTACTTACACTTGTGTAAGTGCTATTTTCATACTTTAACCCTTTAACCTTCCTTCAGCAGGAATGTTGCACTAAAAATGTTCGAATCCTGCCTGGGGCAGTTTTGCATGGGTTTCCCCGACCATAAAAAAACATGTATTTTAGGTTAAAGGGGACCTATTATGCATTTTCTTTAGTTTCTGTCCTATATATTATGTTGGTTTTTGACATTAAAAAAAGCCAAAGTATCAAATAATAAGGTAAATGTATGGAAAGGTAATCCATGTGAGCAAAAAAGAAAGAGAGAGATGTGAGGGTGAACTGGGGAGCTCCATGAAGGGCCAGTATAAAATAAATAAGGATGTTTTTGAAGAGTGGATCATGCAAAGCTACTGTAGTGGAGTCTCAGGCTGGAAATGAGCATAATAGACTCCTGTCAGTGCTCCTGACCAAGGCACTGGTCCCACTGCTCCTAACACTTGGATTAAAGGCAGAGAAATGACTTCTTACTCCACAGCTGCAGTTTGCAGATTAGGATTTTACAAACATATTCTAACATATGATCAATGTATCAATTATGATCCATTTCTACAGATTAAACAACAGTAGAGAAAGTAGTTTGAAATAGCTTCAGCTCAACCATGTTGATGCATTAGTAATAATAATACAGTGGGAAAAAACTATATAGTGACTAATTGTGTTAGTTATTATAGTAAAAGTTTATGTGGAACGATTATTTGGAACAATAGTTTGTAAAATGATAACATAATTATATCATTCCACTGACATTCAACAAATAATAATATTGAGTAATTCATGTATGCACAGGCTTATATAGCTAATTCAGTGAAGAGTGTGTTACTGATTATTGATTCATTTAATTTATTTAATTCATTATGATTATGTTATCATATATAAACATGCATACATACATATATACATATATAAAGAGGTGTTTCTATTATTTTGCCTACCCTTATTACTGATACAAATGGGGTGGACAAAATAATAGAAACACTTGTTAAATAATAACATAAAAACAATGAGAGTGTCATGTAGCTTTTAATAACAATTAAGCTGGTATGAGATAGAAACTTTAATGTGATAGCGAGGGGGGGGGGGGGTTGGTAAATGTTATTTAAAGTCCTTAATGTCACAAGGAAAAACACCTAGTTGTCACTACCCTTTAAGTGTGTCACTGTTCTAAGTTACAACACAACATCCATTGAGGTGGCCTGGTTTTCTGGTTTTCTATATTCTAATATTCCCCAGGACAAACTTTTGCTAAACAAAGCAAAACAGTTGCTTGGTGTAAATAAAATAAAATGCTAATGCTATTTCCTGAGTGTTCAGGCGCTTGAACTTTGCGTCACTTACCTGGCTGCTCCCTCAGAGCCATGACTGACACGATATAGTGCGCCATGTCAAAGTATGGAAACATGGACAAGTTTGCCAGCCCGTGGGACAGCTCGTCCAAATGCAGTACCCCGAACAAATCCATTTTCTTACTGTCTAAAACTCTTCAACAAGCCTAGTTAAGTTCAAAGTGGATAAAAGGCACCGGTCCAACTCCGAGCATCAGGTCAAACCCTCGGCTTCATCCACCGTCTGTCCACTCTGATAGCAGCCGGTGGCCCAGAACAGCTGTGTGTGTGCGGAGGGATAAACTGCTGCCAAGTTGCTCTCAGCTGGTTAGTTGACTTTAGGGATCGCCGCTCGTCGCCGGGCAACAGACCTGTATTGCCATGGGATGGTCATAGTCGGTATTACCCCCATCAACGACGCTGTCATCGGCGCATAGGCGGAATTCCTGCTCCGTGTTCCGCCATGCTAGTGATGTGGCAGGCGCAGCCAGCGCGGCGTTGTGATTGGACGAGAGAGAGCAAGGCGAGCCAATCACGTGTCGGAGTGTGGGTTTACGAGGTGATGCTACAGGATTTGTAAAAACAGATTTCCACATACACACAAACACGGTCCTGCATATTGGGTGGGGGAGTCGAAATATATGTGTAGAGAAGATAAGTTTTAAGATTATCAGAATAAAGTCGTAATTTCGGAAAAAAAAAGTATATAGGCCTATAATTTACTGTGCAATCTATTGCCCA